TATATATAAATATATAAATTTAATATAAATAATTATTTTATGTTATATATTTAAGCATAATTTACATATTTAAATTATATATAAATTTTACATTATAAAACTATATTTATAATGTCATACAATATTATTTTTTTAGATTTATATTTTTTTAATATCATTTAATTTTACATTAGAGAGAAATTTTAGAACTTTAAAAATATAATAATTTATTTTTTATCGAATAATTATAAATATACAAACAATTATATATTTAAGAACATAAAAATTTATTATGATTATTTTTATTTGAATGTTTCTTACAAAAAATTCCCAACAATTTATCTTAGAAACATTCATCTTGTACTCATTATTGAAACTAGAAATTAATAGTTGTTTAGTCCCACATCACTTAGGAGTTTTATGTTGTGTTGTTTATATATATTTTCTTGTAGTCATTGTTAAGACTCCTTTCTTATATTTTTTTCAAAATTACTTTTCAATAAAAAAAAATTTTTGAATAGAATTTTATGCACTAAAAAAATATTTTATAAAATATATAGAAAACTATCTCAAAAAAAAAAAAAAAGGAGATAGCTTAAGATTCCGATGACCTTAGGTATACAATGAAAATTGATATAATTTAAAGCTTATTTTGAAAAAGTTTTAATAGTACTATATAAATAATTATAAAATAAAAAAGTAACAGTTTAATATATAAATATAAAAAATTTAACTAATCCCTAGTAGATTTGAATTTGAGAAAGTTGGAGGGGTTGCTTTACCTCCGGGTAGGCTGGGGGAGCTTAATAATTTCATTTTTTATAGTAGTTTGCAAGATCTTGCCTCTGTTGGGATTTTCTTTACTTGGTATAATCAAAGGGTGGATCTACCCATTCATATTAAGCTTGATAGAACTTTGGTTAATACAACTTTCCTTGATGTTTATCCCTCAGCTTATTACAAGGTGGACCCTCCTTCTGGGTCAGATCATTCCCCACTTATTATGATGGCTTCTCCGGTTAAAAGAACCTTCTATAGGTTCATGTTTAAAGACTTTTGGGTTAACATGGAAGGGTTTTGGGATGAAATAATTTTAGCCTTTAGTAGGCCCATTAATGTAAGTCCCATTGCTACTTTTTACAACTGTTTGAGACAACTCAAGAAAGCTCTTAGAGATAAAGATTGGGCCTCCTCTAAATTACCTTTCTAAATCTATTTTGGAAGCCAAAAGTTTGTAACTTCAATGCCTTTCTGATATTCAAAGTAATTCCTTGGATCTTGGTTATAATGCTTCCCTTAAATTTACTAATGAAAATTTAATTCATTTACAATCAAAATGATCATCTTGGATTGCACAACATGCTAAAGCATATTGGCTCTCTCATGGGGAGGATGATCTTGTCTTCCTTAATGCTAAGATTAGATCAAGAAAGAATAGGAACTTTATTAAAGAAATTTCTTCTCACAGAGGTCTTCTCACTTCTCACCAAGACATTGTGGATGCCTTGATCGAGCATTTTAAAGTTATTTTCAATGCACCTAATCCAATATAAGAGGATTCCTATTCTATCCCTATTGGTAACATGGTACCTTCTCATTTCTTGGATTCCTTAGTGGCTCTAATTACTGATCATAATATCAAGGATGTTGTTTTTGCTGGTGTTGCTACTTCTACCCTGGGCCCGGATGGTTATTCTTTTGGTTTTTATCAACAAGTTTGACACATTATTGGCTTCCAACTCTGTAATGCTGTTAAACATTTTTCTCTGCTGGAAACATGCCCAAAGGTGCTAAAGCTACTGCCATCACACTTATACCCAAAGGAACGCACTCCTCTAGTATTTCTGACTTTAGGCCTATTTTTCTTATGCAATATTTTTTACAAGATCATTGCCAAGATTATTACTAATAGGCTTAAACCGGTCCTTCCTTTCATCATTCATGAAAGTCAATATGGATTCATTGCCAACATATGCTCCACTGACAATATTATCCTGGCTACTGAATGCTCAAAGTCTTTAAGGGCTCCCATAAGCTTTTTTGTGTTAAGCTTGATATTAAGAAATCATTTGATTCTATTTCTCAGGGGTTCTTGCTGAACATATTAAGACAAAAAGGTTTCTCGAACACCTTTATTAAATGGATCAACGGTTGCATCTCTGAGGTCCACTTCTCTATTTGCCTTAATGGCTCCTTAGAGGGTTTCTTTAATTCTTCTTCTAGGCTATGTCAGGGGTGTCCTTTATCTTTGTTGCTTTTCTACATTGTAATGGATGGAATGTCCTCTTGTCTTCACAATAAAAACCAACCTTCTTTCGTGGGACGTAATCACAAAAACTTTGGCCTTAAGCATCTCATGTATGCTGATGATCTTCTGGTTTTTGGTGCTGCTTCTTTGGATAATATTGATTGCTTAAAGAATTCCCTCCAACAATTCTCTGAGGCATCTGGCCTTCACATAAACCCTTTTAAAAGCTCCATTCTCTATTCTAGAAATGTTGAGAATGTGGACCAAATTGCTTCCTCTCTTGGAATTTCTCAAATCAAGAGAAAATTTCTCAAATCAAGGACTCTCTTATCTATCTGGGTCTACCTATTGCTACCAAAAGGCTTAATTTCACTCACTTCTAACCCCTTATGAGTAGGATCTCTGCTCTACTTGTGGGTTGGAAAGTTAATTTTTTTCTTTTCCAAGTAGGGTACAATTTTTGAAATTCACAATTGTCAATACTCTTACTTATTGGATTAGGGGAGCTATCATACCTAAATCGTGTCAGAAAATTATTTCAAAGCTTTGTTCAAAATTTATATTCTTTGGCAGCATTAAAGACAAGAAAATGCATCTCATCTCTTGGAAAATCGTAAATAAACCCAAATTTAAAGGAGGTCTGGGGATCCCTTCTTTTGATTCTCTTTATCACAGTGTTACTTGCTCGTTCATTTGGTGCATGTTCAATGTCAACTCCATGTTGGGGTATTGGTTTAAAGAAAATTATGAATCTCCTTGGAAGCCTCCCCCTTAGCCTCAAAATTCTGGAAGTTAATTTGCCATACGGCTCATGACATTAAGGAGTATACTAGCTTCACTGTGGCCCCTAATTGTAAATTCTCTTTTCTCTGGGATCCTAGGTTTAATGGTGATTATTTAGCAAAATCTTTCAACTACAATAGTCTTTCCTTCTGCTATGTGCAAGATTTTATTTACAATGGACATTGGATTCTTCCTGAGTATTGGCCTACAGATATTAAATACAATATTCTTAACATTTGCATTGGGGAGCAACTGGTTTTGGCTTGGAACGGCTCCTCTAAGCCCACTTTTAAGAAGTTTATTGCTCAATTTTATTCTAATCTAGATGATGTGAGTTGGTTTAAGTATATTTGGCATAAAAGTCAGACCCTCCCGTTTGCTTGTTATTCTTGGATGGTGATTCAGGAAAAGCTTAAATGTGTTGATATCCTTATATACAGGGGGATCCCGGCCTCCCCGTCTTGTTATTTCTATATTGGGCACAATGAATCTCACTCTCATTTGTTTTTTGATTGTAATTACTCCTTCACCATTATTACTAGTTTGCTCCCTATGCTTATTTGTTTCTACCTTAGACCAAATAAGTCCCAAAAGTATGATTACTTTAGCAACATTCCTCAATTTAATGCTTTGGAAAAAGATTTCTGTTTTCTCACCATTTATGCGGCGGTTTACTTCATTTGGAGGGAAAGAAATAAGATGAGATTTTCTAATTATTGGGACAATCCTTCTAATGTTAAAGAAGTTATTACTAATGCTATTCGTGCCAAAGTTAGGAAATGGAAGTCAAATGAAAAGCTGCATGGCCAGTTTATGGAAAATCTGGGTTAATCATGTTTTGTTATTCTTGGACTGGTTTGTTGACTGCATCTGGATTGCTTTGGTATGCTTTTTCTAGAAGGTTTTTGTCTTACTACCGAGTTTGTCTTACCCATTTTTGCCTCATACCGGATTGCCTGTGTTAGGCCTTCTCTGGTTTTTGTTATTCCGGTTACAGGATGCGCTTATTCTGGTTGTTGGCTGGGTCTGAAATGCTTTGGGGTGTTTTTTCTGGATGGATGAATTTTGTCTTGCTCTTCGGTTTGCCTATATCGAATTTCTGCTTATGCTGGAATGCCTTTATTAGGAGTTCTGTGGCTTTTTGTTCTTCCGGTTATAAGTTCCTCACTTCTGGTGGTTGCTTATTCTGTTTTGCTGCAAAATTTTGGTTGATTTTGAGGTTACGGACAATGATGAGCCAAGGTCTACACCATACAATTTCCTTGGATGATCGTTTTCAACAACTAGGAAATTCTTTTGTTGTTTGGGTATTCGGGAATTCTTCTGGACGTTGTGATGGTCCTTCTGTCATCTTGTGTGGCTTGTGGCAACTAGTGTTCTTTTCAGCTGCTAGGTATTTGCTTTCGCTCTTCCTGATTGGTGTTATGATGCAATTGGTGTAGACCTTATTTTCCTGAGTCCAATCTTTTTTTATACTTCCTTTTGTATATTGGGGGTATAGGATTTTACTTGTAATTTTGTTTTTGAAAATTTTTATTGATTTGTAATCCTTTTGATTCAATATATGAGCTTTTTCCCCTAATTTTTCAAAAAAAAAAAAAATCCCCAGTAAGGCAAATTGGATGGCCAGCTTTCAGATGGCGATCTGTCATGCATTCCTTATCCGCCAAAAAAATCCCGTCGCTAAAGCTACCGCCCACGCTACTTGCAAGCATACAGATTTCACCGTTCTGTTACGGCTTAAAAAGTGGATAAAATCACCGGCTCTAGATAAATATTTTAGATAGTGTACGAAAACTGGCAGGCGGGAAAAAAAATATGTATTTGGAAATTAACGGCTCTTGTCACCGACAGTGGGCCGCCGCTTAACAGCAAACAAGCTTTGACGAATCCACAGGGAAGTAAGGAAAGAGCGGTAAGCTTACCCACATTGTTCCTATCCAAGAACACATTGGGAGATGGGGACCCATCGTGATCGCTGTATCACTATTTACTGCCCTTTTTCTCCGTCCATTGTCAGAAGCAACGTTCCTACTCTGTCTCGCCCTCCGCTTGCTCCCTCTCTTTCTCTGTAACGGCGTCTTCGGAGGTCTGAGTGGAAGTGCTGAGGTCTAAGGAGCGGAATCTCGAGGAATCGCGAGACAGAAGGTCCGTAATCTATGACTTCTTCTCCAACTCGCAATGCCGAGGAGAAGCGCTGCCTTTTTTGGTGGTCTATTGGAAAAATGGTGCTTTTTGTGCTTATTTGGGGTTGATTTGTTTGAGTCGAAGTATCTGAGAGTGGGGCTTTGCTTATTTTAATTTCGAGCCAAAAGGTGAAGTTTTGTTTTTGGATTGCCGGTGGTGAGAAGGCGAGGGTTTTTGGTAGTATATTGCCAGGTTGTTGGGATGTTTGTGTTTGATTTAATGGGATGGTGAATAATGTGAAGGGTTGGAGTAGATCTGGGTATTATTTACCTCGTTTGCTATGATTCAAATGGTGATTCTGAGTTGCCGAGGGTTAGGATTCAAGGTTTCATGTCCAATTTTTTCTTTTTCAATGATAGTTCCTTTCTAGGCAGTTCATTGCAATGATAGTTGTTGAGTGGTCATTAAGTTGGTAGGTTTTTTCTGTAAAAGTAACCCTGTGAGTTGCCACTGCTGAGGAGCCTACTGTCCTTGCTCTGTAAGATTTTCCTTTGATAAAGTGAAGTAAAAATGAAGTCTATCATCTCTCCTGCATCTAGTTTATGTGATTTCGAAAAATTTGTGCATGAAAATTGGTTACTTCCGGAGCAGGTTTTGTACTGCAGAACTAATGATTTAAACTTTTGCATTGCCATTAATAAACTATTTAGTATTGCCATTATACAAAAGATGCCTTTTTTGTTTCTGTAAGGGCGTGTGTGTTTAGCTTTGGATTTCATGAATCTCAATCTTTCTATCTGAAAAAGAAGCTAATTGTCCAACTAATGCATTTTTGCAGGTTATTCTTGCATACAAATGGATGTAACCAATTCTCAAGATCTCTTCTCAGGTCAGACCACCTGTGGAACTTTGTTGCAGCAACTGCAGGTATTATAATAGAATTATCATTTTTATGCCAGGAAATGGCATGAACTGAGGTTCAAGCTTAATAATATATTTCAGGTCATATGGGATGAGGTTGGTGAGAGTGATGAGGAGCGTGATAAGATGTTACTTCAGCTCGAGCAAGAATGCTTGGATGTTTATATGAGAAAAGTTGATCAGGCTTCCAAGTCGAGGGCTCTGCTTCTCAAGTCATTGGCTGATTCCAGAGCTGAACTTGCTAGACTTCTTTCTGCTCTTGGGGAAAAGACTTATGCTGGTCTAGTGAGTGAGCTATAATATCATTTAGCCATTTGGACCGCAGATAGTGCTAAATTGTCTGTTTACTTGAGTTGCGTTTTCTTTTGGGCTTAATAGCATTGGTTATCATACACATCCCACTATGAATTGTAATATCTGGAATTGATCTCTTTTTTATTTACAATTCTTGGTACTACTTTTACTGGTATTGTAAGTAGAAGAGAATGTTGTGCTACTTTTGAATACTTTCTGTTTCTTATCTTGTCATGAAGCTTGGACATGTAAAATAGTGCGGTTGCATGGTTTGAACTTACTAAGCTTAACTCTATTATATCTCAATCCAATCCTTTTTGTTACAAATTCTTTTGTCCACTAATGGTCACCTCTGAAGGTGACTCTATGATGTTTTTTGTTTTGTAAAATCGCTGGTAAATCAATCATCTGAAATATAATGATTTATGGATTTAGTTCACAATAACTTTTTCTTTGATGAAAGACAATATTGATTAAGCTTTCTTATGCTGTGTGTTTGTCAAATTTACTCTTTATCAGATTGCAATATGTTTTAAGCATACGTTATATAGATATATGTTCTTAATAGATATGGTTACGAAACTTATGCTTTAATGCTTTTGCAATAAAGATTTGCTGGACTAACAGCAGCCTGTTGCATTCATAGCCTGACAAGTCATCTGGTACAATCAAAGAACAATTAGCAGCCATTGCACCAACATTACAACAGTTATGCAAACAAAAGGAGGATAGGCTTAAAGAGTTTACTGATGTTCAGTTGCAAATTCAAAAGATTCATGGGGAGATTGCTGGAAGCTTAGCAAATGGTGAGAAGTTGGGAATGCCGGTGGTTGATGAAAATGATTTATCTCTAAAGAAATTAGATGAGTTCCATGTTCAATTGCAGGATCTTCAAAGAGAAAAGGTTTCTTCTAAAACTATTCAATTATGACTATGTTAGTTTTGAGACTGTAAAGCTTATTATATATCTTTTTTTTAGAGTGAAAGGTTGCATAAAGTCCTTGATTTTGTGAGCACAGTTCATGATCTTTGTGCCGTCTTGGGGATGGAATTTTTGGGAACAATTACTGAAATCCATCCCAGTCTGAATGAGTCCATTGGTGTTCAGTCAAAGAGCATAAGTAATGACACATTATACAAGCTTCTCAAGATGGTTGAGGCCCTTAAAGAGGATAAGAGAGTGAGGCTGCAAAAGGTATTTTTTTATTCCCATATGCATCATTATATACTTGAATGTGTTTAAATAGAAAACTGAAACAAGTTCTGCATTGAAAAGGCATTACTTAATTCTTTTATCCACTTTCTAATATTCTATATTCAATGCCTTGGCGTTCCACTTTTTAATATTCTATATCCAATGCCTTGGGGTAAATAACTTGCAGAGATAGCCCTAATATTATAAATCAAGTTGTCAAAGGTAAATTTCAATATTCAAAATTTTGATTATTGAGACTTCTTAACTTTGTTATGATTATAGGTCATGATAATCAATATTGAGTCATTAAAACTTACATCCAAGGTTCTTTCTTTAGAGCTATATATTATACGGTTAACTTATTCGTTTTTTGATTCTTCTAAATTTGGTTATTGATTTAGTTTTATACTTTTGCAATATAATGAGTAACGTAAATGTGGTGAACTATTCTTACTTCAATTTCATTGTGTTTATTCAAATTTAAATGGTACAATAAATTATGCATACCCCGCTTGATGTTCTTAATTATAGGAAAGTCCTTTATGATTAAAAAGATATTTAGTAATAAGCATAATAATATTGCAGACTGATTTTTTATTTGATTGTAGTGCTAGGTCAAATGCGATTGGCAATTAACATTAATATAAGCTTTTAGAAGTTTTTTTAATTGGAAAAATTGTACATGGACTTGGACTTTGAAAATCTACAGTGTTTAGGATAAACCTTCTCTGTCAAACTGAACAAAAAAAATGATTGATGTAGTGGATGCCCTGAGACATAATGGTTTGAATTGTGTCAATTTTATATATTTCCTTAGAATAATGGCTTGTACTGACTTCTGCTTTGGGAAAGTGCTAATTTGCAAATATGCCAAACGACATTATCTTTAATTCATTTGAAGCCATTGAATTATAAAAAAAAACATAACTCATAATTGAACATTATTATTTCATCTTGGAGGGGACAAAAACTGATCCATTATGAGTGAAATTATATCAGTTTCATCTAATATATTAAATAATGGTACCAACTCATTGAGTTTCTGCAAGCTTAACTTAATGTTGCTTGATTTATACTTTCATTTAAGTGTGATTCTATCAAGTTGACTTAACAATCGTCCAATTGTCGGTGCCAGAATATTGGGAGAAATGGAGGAATGCTAGGTTCAATTTGGAAGCTGCAAGATGGAAGAGGGTGTAGGAGTTGTAAAATGAATATAAGTGAACAAAGTTGGAAGTGTTAACGTTGGAGTTATTGAAGCTATGCTACTGATTTGGTGTGTTGAACTTCAGGAGATTTAGTGTTTATAAGGGTTTGAGTAAATATAATGTCAAACAAAATATTAAAATAATAATGTCAATACAATTGTATATTTAAAAAAATATAAATACACAAATTTGAATTAATTTGTTTTTAACCAGATACTAAAAAGGATTTTCTTAATTTATTTTACTACCAAAAAATAATTTTGAGCATTTCAAACATATATTTATATTGTATTTAAAATACACCTGAATTTTTAGTGCTTGCAATCAAACAACTCCTTAGCTTTCCATGGTGATTCACTAACAGGATAGACATCTGATGATTTAATTCATTGGCCAAGTATTTTTTCAGTACAATTTAGTAAAATAAAGAAATGAAATTGATTTTCAATCAACTTTAGTTACTTCCAGGAATTTTTTTTTAAGTAAAAAATTAAATTTATTTCAAAGCTTCTTACAAGTCCTTAAATGTACTGCCACTCAGTTTTAATTTTGTTTTTTAAATTTCTTATTTGGACTGAATTTGAGTTGAACATAGTTTTATTCATTTTCATTATTGATATCTCAGACTTAACCTGCTTAAATCATTCTTTATGCTGCGCATCTACTTTAATATTATGGAATTTTCTTGGAATATAATAGGATATCTAGCTTTTATGGTATTTAATGGCATCTATATATTTTTGCTGAAACAGAGAATCAAGCTAAACATGGAAGCTCGAGGTTCCACGGAATTTAATGAAATTAAAACTCTGCTTCTAAGTTCCAAGCTGAAACTGATACTTTGATCTTAAGATTTTTTAGGATTTTTTAATGTCCTGAGATTTAATTATCTTATTTATCTGATCAATGTATTTTGCGCTTGTGAACTATGTTTTGGTTTCGCTGAATTCACCATTCTTTATGCAATAAGTTGTTTATTTGGTTCCAGCTTCAATTGTTGGCTGCACAACTCACTGATCTTTGGAATCTGATGGATACTTCCCCTGAGGAGCGCATCTTATTTAGGCACATAACCTTGAATATTTCTGCTACTATCGATGAGGTCATTGTTCCTGGAGCCCTTGCAGTTGATATAATTGAGCAGGTTGGCAACTTGCAAAACATTTGACACTTAAAAAGCAGAACTTTCCCTACTATTATTTTTGGTATTGCTAACTTTTCTTTTTTTAAGGCTGAGGAGGAAGTTGAGAGGCTAGATCAACTGAAGGCTACCAGAATGAAAGAAATAGCAATGAAGAAACAGGCTGAACTCGAAGATATATATGCCCATGCTCACATGGAGGTTGATTCAGCAGCTGCAGAAAGGAAAATTGTGGCTTTAATTGAATCCGGGAATGTTGAGCCTTCAGAACTATTTAGTGAAATGGATAATAAGATTTTAAAAGCCAAGGAGGAGGCCTTAAGTAGAAAGGAAATATTGGAAAAGGTTGAGAAATGGATGTCAGCTTGCGAAGAAGAGAGCTGGTTGGATGATTACAACAGGGTAATGATATCTTGTGTACTCCCCAAGTTTGCATCTTTTTTATACCGTTTTAGCTTGTTGATTTCTGTTATATGTGATGTATTTGGATATTGGGAATTTGTGTTAGCCTTTTTGTTGCTGCATTATTTGAGTCTACAGATAAAAATAGAATTAATATTAGGTAGTTACAATAGTCAGGTGCCTTAAAGAGTCCATGTGATAAGAGAATATCATATAGACATTCTAATTAATTTTGTGAAGTTATAGTGAACCAACAATGCTATAGAGATTTGAGTGTGAAGAAATAAAGAAGTTATTAATAGTTAAGTCAGGAGTGATATATGAAAACATTAAAAATGAATGTATGACCATTAGCAAAATTAAGTGGGGTTAAAGAAAGGAAAATGATTACATTAGATAAATAATAAAACTACACATGTTGAAGGTAAGATTTAAGCATTATAGCAGAGGGTTGACGATACAACAATAATATAAGTAGATGATATAAATGTGAAAGAAACTAAGAAGAAAGAAAAGGCAGGCCAATAATAACATGGCTGGAGGCTTTGCATTAAGTTTTTTTAGGCAAAATATAGTTAAGACATATGACACTAAAAAATGCATTGAGACTAAGAATTCATAAAGCCGATTGAAATAGTTGGGATAAGACTGATGATGATTACAACGATGTAAGATATATACATAATGTGCTAGTAGATAAGCGAAACCTATGCAAATGTTGAGGGTGAAACAACAAAAAATCAAGGTTCTAAAAATCATACCATACATGAAACTAGAAGCAGTGAATATTCATGGTTCAATGGTTCAATCTGGATTAAAATGAATGAAATAATAAATATTAAAATTATTTAAATATAATATAATAATTAAAATTTTAAAAAGTGAATGCATAACTATCTTGATTAAAACTAAAAAACAAACTTAATTAAGGCTTAACATAAAGTTTGTTAACAAGGTTGATTAACCATTAGTGTGAATATAAGTAATATGGTTATATGAATATTACTCTGGTTTAAAAATTAATTTTTTTTTAAGAATGTAAATATAATTTTAAATAAGAATAATATAATATAGAAATTTTATAATATACAAAAGTTTATGTTCTTAATCTTTATAAATACCCTGCCCAACCAAATTTCATAATTTAATTATTATCCAGAATTCTCATAGGTTTTTTAGTCTCACATCATAGAAGAGTTTTTATTAATGATCTTTATGTAGTATAAAGCACAAACTACTAGTAACATACCAAGCTGTGTGATTTGGCAACTGTGTATTCTTATTGATTTGCTTGCATATACTTTTAAATGAATATTTAAAATTAAAAATAATAATAATTAAAATTTTATTAAAATAAAATATAATATTTGTAAAATAGCCCAACTCAACTAAACCTTGGCCAATTCAATGGTTTTCTGGTCAAACTGGCAGTTCAAACTAGTTTGAGTCGGTTCAATGGGATTCCAATTTTCAAATATGACCGAATCATCAACTTGATTGATTCACAGTCGAACTGGCTGATCTGATTTTCAAAATATTGTAAAAATAGAAAATAAAACCAACTCAAATCAGCTGTCAAATCGGTTCGAACTGGTTCAGCACAAATCCGGTTTTCAAATTTTATTGAACGGACAACTTGATAAGTTTACAGCCGAATCGTTTGATCCAGTCCATTTTTTCAAAGCACTGTAAAAAAATAGAAAAGAAGATGGCTCATAAAAAATACATTAGAAATTTATACAGCTTTACTCAGTTGATGACTACTTTTTATTGTTTGGTGATAGATAAAATACAATCTTAATTTAACTTGTACTGCAGAATATGGAGCCCCCCGATCTCTTTTTATTAAAAAAAAAGGGTAGCAGAAAAATACAATTAAATTCTCAAAATGATCTTAATAAAGGAACCATTAGGTCTATCTACAACCAAGTCCGTGCAGTGGATAAAAATTATATTACTATTTAACAAGATATGCACATCATTTTCACTTTTGTATAGCTTAAATTATTGACATATTTCATTAATACTTCTCTGCAAGAAATGCCGCAGCTTATTGCTTGCATTTCCTAGTTCTACTAAATGGATTGCATTTTCTTGCATGTCCATTCAAGCTTTATTGCATTGAGACTAATGTAGTTGACACGTAACTTAACTTAGTCTGTTGGTTGGGAGCTTTAATTATTAATCAATAGATCTTGGGTTCGAGCCTTGCATAAGTGATATGTGTGTGAGTTTGACTTAATTGGCCTAAACGTCCCTCCCATTTCTGCAGCTGTTGAATCAACCTCCATGTGAGCATGAGCATATATATCTTTGAGTTCAGCCTGTTTCTTCATTGCTATTTCTTTCATTCTTCTAGCCTTCAATTGATCTAGCCTCTCAACTTCTTCTTCAACCTTAATAAAAGAGAAAGTTAGCAATACAAAAAATAATAGCAAGTAAAGTTATGTTTTTTAAGTGTCAAATGCTTTGCAAGTTGCCAACCTGCTCAATTATATCAAGTGCAAGGGCTCCAGGAACAATGATCTCATCGATACTAGCAGACATCGAGGCTATGTGCCTAAATAAGATGCGCTCCTCTGGGGCATTTTAATGGGGCAACCTCAAATCAGCTGCCTAGGGGCATTTTAATGGGGCAACCTCAAATCAGCTGCCTACCAACGCCAACTCAATCCTCGAGCATATCCTACTCGGCTTCCCACCAGCAAGAAGCATTTCTGATCTTGGAAGGAAGTTGAGAAAAAAAAAAAAAAAAAAAAAAAAAAAAAAAAAAACTAAAATGTGAAGAGAGAATTTCAACATATCTATCAATAAACTTGCCATGAATAACATCATAACAGTGGTAAGAAGAGAGAACTCAATACCCTCATTCGACGGTAAGAAGAGAGAACTCAAGACATGCCATGAGCCTCCTCCCATGCTCGAGTCTTAGACACTAGAGTGTCAACAAGTCCTAACAACAACAAAAGTATCAATCTAGACATTACAGAGAGGCCTTAAGTTGAAAGCAAATATTGGAAAAGGTTGAGAAATGGATGTCAGCTGGCGAAGAAGAGAGCTGGTTGGATGATTACAACAGGGTAATGATATCTTGTGTAGTCCCCAAGTTTGCATTTTTTTTATACCGTTTTAGCTTGTTGATTTCTGTTGTATGTGATGTATTTCCTAGTTCTACTAAATGGATTGCATATTCTTGCGTGTCCTTTCAAGCTTTATTGCATTGAGACTAATGTAGCTGACACATAACTCAACTTGATATGTTAGTTGACATAATACCTCTTTGGCTATTTGGCATGTAACTTCAATGTTAATAGACTATAGTTATTACTTTGTTACAATGTCTATTATTCTACCATTCGTCTTTCTTTGTTATTTATTAAATTTATTGGTAATTATTGGCAGATAGGATTACTATTCATACAGGCAGCATACCCCGGCATTTAAAGTCATTTATTCACCTTGGTGTCGATTGCACAGCTTTTCTGATACTTATTTTTTCTTTGGACGTTTCAGGATGAAAACAGATATAACTCCAGCAGAGGGGCACACTTAAATCTCAAGAGAGCTGAAAAAGCTCGCCTTCTGGTTAACAAAATTCCAGGTACTTGTGAGATATGATGACGACTATTCTCCCTAGGGCACATTTGTTTGCTCTAAGTTAAAACATGTTTAAAAATGACAACTTTATTAGGTATTATCATTTTATTGAGGCTTTGTTTGGGATAGTTGTTTTACTATTTTCTAAAACTGTTTTTTGTTATAAAAATTTTTGAACTAGAAAGCTTCTTTAGAAATCAATAAGAAAGTTATTTCAAATTAAGCCTGAATGTAGTTTGAATACCTTAAGTGATCAAAATGAGTGAAAATTAAGATTTTGTTTGGGACGGCTTTCTTACTGCTTCTTAAAGCAACTTTCTAGTATAACAAATAAAATAGTTATATGAAAAAAGTTGCTTTAAGAAGCAATAAAATAGCAAGTCCCAATGGAGTCTAAATCATCATTTTCTAAAATATATGTCATCTACGACAAGAAACCAACTGAGCCCTTGCCATAATTACAAATTGTTGTAATTGGTTTGGCTGAGTTTTGTTCTTGTGCAACTGAAAAACTATAGATTGGCTTCTCTGTTATGTCTAGATTGATACTTTTGTTGTTGTTAGGTCTTGTTGACGCTCTAGTGTCTAAGACTCGAGCATGGGAGGAGGCTCATGGCTTGTCTTTTACATATGATGGTGTTTCTCTTCTTGCTATGCTTGATGAGTACACCATGCTTAGGCATGACAGAGAGGAAGAAAAGCGTCGAATGAGGGTATTGAGTTCTCTCTTCTTACCATTGTTATGATGTTATCCATGGCAAGTTTATTGATAGATATGTTGAAATATTTATCTCAACTTCCTTCCAGGATCAGAAACGCTTCCATGAACAGCTAACCACAGAACAAGAAGCCTTATTTGGGTCAAAGCCAAGCCCAGCACGGACATCAAGCGCTAAAAAGGCAGTCGGTCCTCGTGCTAATGGAGGTGCATCGAACCATACACTTAGTCGCAGATTGTCTATGAACAGTCATCATGGAAGCAACAATGGTGTCAGATCAGCGAGCAGGGATGGTAAGAAAGACAGCCGGTTTTCAGCTCCGGCAAACTACGTTGCACTCGCTAAAGAAGATGCTCCTACCTTGGTCTCAGGAAATGATCTAGTACTTGCTTCCCCATGAAAAATATTTTAAGTTGTGTTGCTTCTTCTTCCTCTTCTTCTATATCTGGTTGATAGGCACTGTAGGATAGGGATGCTTGTTGAAATTCTTTGGACTCTAGGAACATAACTTCCAATTCATGTGAAGACATGCTCTGTATTTCTTGTAGTTTGCTGTAGTGTGTAGTCGTGTAGATAGTCTTGTGCTCTAGCAATCTGTTCTGCTAATCTGAACATTGACCCAATCATTTTATTGTTTTTTGACCACTTAATTGAGTGTGTTGCACTGTGCTTAAGTATCCGTTATTTTATTTTATTTTTTTTTGAACGAATTTTGATTGATGCAGCTTAGTAAGTTTAAGGCCCTTCAGCACTTCTGTTGTAGTTTTTGTTGCTATATATATATATATATATAGAATCACTTGGGTTGATTAAGGCTTCGGTTGGGACGAATTTCTTACAGCTCCTTAAAGTAGAGTTTTAGTTAAAAAATTTAATTTTTTTAACTAAAAATTTGTTTAAAAAATAGTAAGCAAGTCATCCCAAATAAAGCTTAAGAAATAGTTAATGAAATGAAATTTTAGTAATTTATGGGTTGATTAAGAATTTAACATCTATTATTATTCAAATAATGAACAAAGTTTGAATTTATGCTCTTACAAAAATTATATTTATTAGTCTTGAGTTAGTATTTAAAAGGACTAATACAATTAGATAATAGTGTTCATTGCATGATCATTTAAATAATTTAGTATACTACATTTATTTTAATATAAATCAGGATCACTTCTATGTAAAGTCATATTTTCAAGTAATTTTCTAAATAAAAAATTCATTTAGCTTTTAAATAAAATTTAATTTTGAAATTGTATATAATATTTGAATGTTTTTAAAGATAAACTTTTTTTTTTGGGACATTTTTTAAAGATAAACTTGAAATAAATTAAGATGGCTAACTTTAAAGATAAAATTAGTTTTGGTGGTCTTGCTAGATTATATAAGATAATTAACTTTACACATTAGGTACAACAACAACAAAATCAAATGTTTATTCCACTGAGTTTTGCTACATGAATTTTTTTTCATTGTATTTTGTTAAAAGTTAAATTTTCATTTAAATTTAATAAATATGCCATTTCTAACATTTTCTAGCCAAATTTTTTTTAAGTCCAACTCTACTTTTCGTAACATAGGCCAAATCCAATATATTTACTCGTCTAATCGGATTATCTGAAGGCCAACATTTTATGTGTCAAAATTATCTAAGACAACTCTCTCTAACATTTTCTTTCACCGGAGCTATTCCAATCTTTTCAAGTTTGTGATGTGTTTTTTTGTTTGGCTATATGTCTTGTACTTGTATTTGTGTACATTACGATAAGAAATATTCTCTTCTATAGGTGTCAATCATTTGATGCCCTTGAAGGCATTATAAATTGCTTAGCAAAATATTGGGTTTACTTTGAAATTAAATGTGAATGGTTAGATGCAATTTGTGTGTGTATTGGATATTAAGCAATACTCTATGTTTTCATACATATACATCATATATTAAAAAACTTTGGAAATGAACTAAGATGGAACAGTGAACTTCACTTTCACATCCCATGGAATATACTTGCTCCATTCAAACAAGATTTATATTATAATTCCTTTAAATTTACTAAGGTGAAAAGTCTAATACTCCCTAGTTTATAGCAATCTTGATCCAAATAGAATGGCAAGGCTAGTTTTGGTGGTTTGCTTTTACTTATCAAATTGTCCCCTCCTTTCATTATATAGGCTTCTTCTACAAATTTTAAGGGGAGTAAATCTTATATGCTTCTTCCCTATCATATCTTTGAATGATACAATTCATTGTTGTTGATAAAGAATATCATGTTAGATTATATTGATTATCTTCTTAGCTAAATAGGCTTATCAAGTGAACACTGAGGGTGAAAGAACCATGAAATCCTAATGGAGTAATACCATATTTTTCAAAGTTCCTTACATATACCCAAAATCGCTTTGAGCACGTTCATTATTATTGAGAAATACTTTAATTGGGGTCAAGTCCATTTCAAAAATGAATATTCTTGGGTATCCATCAAAGTGTAATTAACCTTAGAAAAAATATTCTTTGGAGAGATTTAGATCTTATAAAATAAATAAAAAAATTTAAATTTTCAAGTTAAAATGTGAAATCTTTTACGAAATTTTTTACTATTTTTAATGGATATGGATGATCTTACACTTCTCTAGACCTTTTTTCCTACCTCTTTAAATAAATATTTCATATGAAACTTCTTTAACATTTTTTCCTCACAAAAAAGAGAGGATAAGAAAAAAATGGTTGAAAATAGTAGGAAAATTGGATATCTAAGAGACTTAGAAGTGCTCAAATTCCTTTGAAAAATAATCAATATTGAGAAATTGTTGAACTATAAATAAATTACGAAATCTTAGAAAAATAATCAATATTTTTTTAAAAAAGAAGTTTAAATAAAAAGTTAAACTTTAGTCAAACTTAAAAATCTTCATATTAAATAATAATAATGATAATAATAATAATAATTAAATGTTTTGATAAGATTGGCTTTATGTAAAATGCAACAAATGAATTTATTTAAAAAAAGAAACTAGGACTTCTTGATTATAATTTTAATACATTTTAAAGTTATTAATTAATATGGTTCTTCAAATTCTAAAGTTAATAATCAAACATAAATAGATAAATTGTAAAGCGTTAAAACTTACATTTAAATAAAATCCCTTAACCTACAACATATCAATTCAATGTGTACATAATTTAAATCCTATTCCATTTAGGATACTACCCAACCACACAACCTAGCACACACATAGAATTATATGATAGAACAACCAACTTTAGTTTTAGATTAGGGTAGTGTTTTGGCGTGTGTATTTGTTTTTTCTAAATTTTGTTAATTATGAAGTGATGTTCAGGTGGATGTGTGATGATGTGAGTGTTTATTTTTCTGCACTTGTGATGATGATGTGATGGACATTAGATTATCCTAGGTTATGAGCGTCTAATATACTAATTAAGTTTTCTACTAGTGATCATATTTTTGTAGGGTTATTAAATAAAAAGGGGGAAAATGTAATGATTACAAATAGCAAGTTTTATGTAGGTGCTTGAATTTGTTAGCCCCCATTAAATATTAAAGCATGGCCATGTGTATTTGCTTTTTTAATTTGCTAAAAAATAAGCAAGTGTTTTGTAGCACTATATAATGTGATATGCATGTGATTTATATAAATGCTTAGTTATGTATACTAATCCCTATGGGTGTAGTGTCTTTTCTTTTATATTCATGTTATAAATTTATAGAGTTGTAAATATATAGAGTCATGAAAGTATTAAATGAAATCATTTATTATAAATAAAAAAAAGTCCAAAAGAATGAATTTTATTTGAAGATAAAGTATTTTGGAATTCTTTAGAAGGATGATCATTGTTCATTCTTATTTTATTTGATAGATGATGTCGGGTCATACTTTTAGCCACATGTAGACTAAGAGCCTATAGGTAAAGATGTTGAAGTAAGAATATGAGGGAAAGAGAGAGAATGTGGATAAAAATAAATCATTATTATCCAAGCCAAATGTACAAGAATAGTGGAAGCGTGGGCTCTGTGTTGTAGACCTTAATTAAGCTAAGTATGACACAATATATATCGAAAATAGAGAAATGATGATCTCCCTTTTTATAGGGGTTGGGGAGTTATTATGGATATGCACGAGGCACATTAATTGTTCAATCAGTCTTCAATATATCTTGGTTGTTTATGCCGAGCGAATTGCTAATCTTTATGAGAGAGGATGCGAGTAGGATGTGCTTAGCGATTGAGTCGACTTTGGTAGGAAGCCGACTTTATGTTGCCCCATTGAGGTGAGAGGGGCGAGTAGCTTTTGATGTAGTCGAGAGATCAGGCTTGTGTATAATAGGAGATAAGCCTAAGGTGGCCCTATTGAGCTAAGAGGGGGAGAGTAGCATCTTAATGTAGTCCTGAGGTTGATTAGATTAAAAGGGATGTCTTATGGGGAGATTTGTGTTGTTAGCTTAATTGTTAATGTGTCTCACATGAGAGACTTAATTCTAGCAGGAAGAATAAAAATTTGTCTCACTAAGAGATGAAATTTTGAGGTCTCCCTAGTCGGGGATGGCGACTGTCTAGAAGATGTGGCTGAAGTTGGTCCACTGTGCTCCAGTGTTAAGCTTCTTCCCAGCCCCTGAGTGAGTCCCTCAAATAGACTGGTTAAAGAGAATGAGGGTTCTCCTTACGCTTGACTTTAACATAACATGTAAGTCATATACAAACAAGTATCTGCACACTTAGTCATGGGTGTACAATCATAGCCTGGAGATCTTGAAGAAGACCTGAAGATGTTTATATAAAAAACTTCATTTTGTATCGATATGCATCAATTTAGGTGTAGAAATCCAAGCTTCTTGTTGATAGAGCTTGTCCACCTTTACTTTCCCATGTACAATGGGTTATATATTAAGTAACATTTGTCACATGCACTTTTCTTTTACCTTTTTTTATATATACTTTGATTATTGATTGTATATGATGTGTGAGTTAGAACTTGCCTATTTTCCTTAGGTATATTGGCATTGAATATGTTGTTGCTTAAACACTGATTAGGCTCTTAGGATTATGTAGTATTTATCGTTTAAAATACAAACTTTTACTTTTCCTAGAAGCAAAACATGCGTATTTATTTCTCTTCTATACACACTAAACTCACACAAGCTAGAGGCAAGGTAGGGGCTGCCTAAGAGATTTGTCAACTATTATTATTGGTATAGAGTCGTTATACTACCAATTTTTTCTTGGAAAGTAAGAGATGTAGATTTGCATTAATTTCATATAAAATTTTATAATTGAGGAAAAATATTTTGGATTACATTAGTTATGTACATTTGAAATGCTAGCATCTTCAATAGAATCTTGATTTGAATTTCTAAACTATAAACCTGTCGCTTCTAAATAAATAATTGCCTTTCTATCATGCATATCATTTAGATCTAAATTCATGTTTTTAAAAGTATTTCGGTGGTTAGCGGGCAGTCCACTACAAGCAGACATAAGTCCAGTGTGTGTCGGGCTTCTTTATTAATTCTTAGGATTTTAAAGTATATGTCCTAATACAAAATTCCTAAACATCAATATATTATGACCTAATCAGTACTTTTTAATGGTTCATTCTAAACCTAGGATCTGAGGCTGATTCAAAGTCATAATTCCTCATCCTTCTA